GCGATTGCGGCCACCACTGCTACCACTGTTGCCGCCTCTGCCACTGCACCCCTCATTCCTGCTGGTGCTGTCAACGCTGCCTCTTCGTCCCCATCCTCTCTTCTCCTCCCCTCCTTCTCGGTCTTCTTCCCTGGTTCCCTCTCACTCTCCCTCCTCGTCTCCCTCTCCCTTTCCGTCCAATGCTAGCTCGAGTGGGAAGGGGCCGCCGCTCGTCACGGCCGCTCGCTCAGCATCCTCCTGGTCTCTGACCTTGGCAGCACCGCTAGGAGGTTTACCTCCTCCTATGCATCAGTTTCCAGCGTGCTCCTCACGAGGGCGCTGTCCGAGCACCGCAACAGATCGCAGCGTGGGCCGTGATCGAGCTAGTTCACACAAGCATTGTAGATATGCTGGCGATGGCCATGGGCGGGCGTCGTCAGCCCGAACACCCTCACGACATGCGCTCACGGTCATGGTGCCGATCATGGCCACAGCAGGTCGCCACGTTGGCGGGCAGCTCTCCCCCGCGTGTTCGTGTAGCTCGAAGGAGCAGTGGGAAACCGACCCCAGCCCCCACAAGAATGGATTTTGAAATTTAACGTTTTGCAATTATGGCGAATGTGCGTAAGTGTAGGCGCCCTGTAAGCCAGGCCATTGCCAATTGCCGCAGGGCAGGGGGGGGGGCCGCGCGCGCGGTCTAGTTTGTCTGCAGTTCCTCATGTGGGGGGCGGGCGGGCGGTTTTCATGCGTTCAAAGAAAGCGCTGTAGATTTGGCACAGCTGCGGGGGCTGTGGGCATCCGTCCCCGCTGCTTGCTCGGGGGCCGTTGGGCAGGCTGGAACTGAGTGCCGGGGTCTTTCCTCTTTTGCGCAGTCAGCGCGAGCAGGAGCGTCATGAGGAGGCGGAGGAGGTGGCGGAGAAGGGAGGAGGAGGAGGAGGAGGAGGAGCAGGAGGTGGAGGAGGAGGAGGAGGGGGAGGACCAGAGTAAACCCAAGACTCATCAACGATGTTGGAATAGTTAGACCCTCCCTCCAAGCTCCCTCTTCATAGGCACCTGCAAGGATTCACTTCCCTTTAGGGAAGTGCCGCGTCGGGAGACAACTGTGTTAAAATCCTGAGGCGTGCCAAAAGACCATTCTCAGCACTTCAACGCCACGAGTCAACCTGATTGTTGCGTCTTGACTATTCTGAGTTGTGCTAAAACATCACTCCTGGGACTTGACACTACGAATCAACGTAACTGTTGCGCCCTGAATGCTGAATCGTTCGAAAACACCGTTTCTGGACGGTCAACATGACAGTCCGCGAAGCTCTTGCAGTCTTTCTTAACGGGAATTTGTGCGGCGCTGATGCGAGAAGGACCCGCCCTCAATCCGTGAAGCTCTTGCATTTGTTGAAGGACTGCGCGGCGCGAAGGCGAGAGCCACATTTTGAAAACGAACCTTCCCCAATCCGCGAAACTCATGGCATTTGTTTAAGACGAGTGCGCGCGGCGTTCAGGCGGGCGCTGCATTTTGAAACGACCTGCCCTCAATCCGCGGAGCGCTTGCAGATTTTTGAAGATACTGTTCGCGGCGCTAAGGCGAAAACCCCATTTTGGAAACGACCCGCCCTCCATCTGTCAAACTGTTGCCAGTTTTTCATCTTCAGGCTTATATCTGATAAGGAAGTCTCTGGCGAAACGCCCGGCCCACCCTTCCGACGGGCCTCGGGGTGCGACAGGGAAGGGTTATTCACAAGGAAAGGAATGGAGGAGGAACGGAAAAAGAGCGAGATTGGGAGGAGGAGGAGGCGGAGGAGGAGGAGGAGGAGGAGGAGGAGTGAGGAGGAGGAGGAGGAGGAGCAGGAGGAGGAGGAGGAGGTGGAGGAGGAGGAGGCGCATGGGGGGAGGGGAGGAGGAGGGGGAGGACCACGAGAAGCAGGAGGAGGAGCATGTCCGACCCACGATTGACCAGAGATTGCGCAGCTGCCGCCCCGCCCGAGCCTGCCTGGGCGAGTCGGCGTCCTCGGGAGCGCGATGGTCTTCTGGGCTGCATTTGCCTCCTTCTTCGTCCCTCGCTCCTCGTCTTCCTGCCCCCTTCTTTGATAGGGCCCTCCTCCTCCTCCTCCTCTCCTCCTCCTCTCCTCACCTCCCCCTCCTCCCCCCTCCTCGTTATCCGGAAGATGGGCGTTTCTCTCCGCGCATTTTTTAGCTCACAGGACACAGGATTCCATTACTTGATGTTATGTGAGGGTTTACAATATAATTGATTTCGGTGGTTTACATGGTGTTCGCGCTGCAGCGTGGGCCTCAATTTCGGATTAGCGTTTTGCTCCCGTCGTTCAGAATGGCGCTCTTACCCCAGTGTGGGCCACTTGTGGATCCCACCATATGTCTCGCAGGTCCCACAAGTCTCGCAGGTCTCGCAGGGCCCACAGGTCCCACAGGTCCCACAGGTCCCATATGTCCCACTGGTACTACAGGTCTGACAGGTTCCACAGGTCCCTCAGGTCCCGCAGGTCTCGCAGGTCCCTCAGGTCCCGCAGGTGTCGCAGGTTTCACAAGTCCCACAGTGGTCCCCCATGTCCCACACGTCCCACACGTCCCGCGGGTCCCACAGGTCCACCGGTCTCGCAGGTCTCGCAGGTATTATTGTTCCTACAGGTCCCACAGGTCTCAAAGGTTCCACAGGTCTCACAGGTCCCACAGGTCCCACAGGCCCCACAGGCCACAGAGGTCCCACACTTCCCGCCGGTCCCACAGGTCCCACCCGTCTCGCAGGTCTCGCAGGTCCGCAGTTCCTACCTGCCTCACAGGTCCCACAGTTCCCACGACTCCCACAGGCCACAGAAGTGTCACAGGTTCCACAGGTCCCACAGATGTCGCAGGTCTCGTGGGTCCCGCAGATACTACAGGATTCACAGGTGCCTCAGATCCCACACGTGTCGCAGGTCTCACAGGCTCCACAGGCCACAGGTGTCCCGCAGGTCCCACAGGTCCCACAAGTCCCACAGGCCACAGAAGTCACACAGGTTCCCCAGGTCTCTCACATCGCACACGTCCCACAGTTCCCACCTGCCCCACAGGTCCCACATGTCACCTTTGCAGCTATTAGGGTGCTTTGCTGGGGGAATGGAGTTCCAGGTCGGCTATGACACGCGTCCGCGGATAGAGAAAATCAGCGCAATGGAAAGGGATCCGAGGCAGGGATCGGATGTCAGATATGGCGCGAGCGCACCTGGCTTGACATGAATATCATTTTCTTCTCTTCCATGAAGATGGCCCGGGGTGTCGCCCGCCCCCCTTCCGCGTATTGCTTCACACGCAGGATTTCATGACACGCTGTCTCTTTTAAAATTATCATTCGAAGTATAGCCTGTTTTTGTTGTTTCTCGTTGTTGTTGATTGTGGTGTTCTAGTTTTTTGTTGGTTTTAGCCTCGTTGTGTCCTTGAATCGAGCCAACACAGACCGTCTTCGGTGTTTCAGAACGGTCTGGCCGCTGCAGCGTGGGCCTCATTTTGGGATCGACACTTTGCACCAATCGTTCAGCGTGGCGCTCTCGCCCAGAGCGCGGGCCACTATTCTGGACCCGAGTGCTTCCTCTTCGATGTCGCCCCGCTCCTTTCGCCTCCCCCGCCCACCGCTTCTCCCGCTCCGGCTCCTGCTGCTGCTGTTCCTCCTCTTCCTCCTTCATCCTCCTCCTGATCTCCCTCCTACTGCTGCCGTTCCTCCTCGTCCTCCTCCTTCATCCTCCTCCCGATCTCCCTCCTGTTCATCCTTCTACTCATCCGCCACCTCCTCCTCTAGCGTACGCAGCTCCCCTGTTCCGATTGCGCATGACACGATGGGGCTCCTTTTTGAAACTCCAGGTCCGCTATGGCACGCGTCGGCGGATGGAGAAACAGTCAGCGCAATGGGAATGAATGGGTGGGAGGGGTAGGGTGTCAGATATGGCTCGAGCACACTTGGCTTGCCCCTCTCCCCCTCTCCCCCTTTCCCCCCCCCTCCTCCTCCTCCTCCTCCTCCTCCTCCTCCTCCTCCTCCTCCTCCTCCCTCCTCCTCCTCCTCCTCCTCCTCCTCCTCCTCCCCCTCTTCCCCCCCCTGCTGCCCCCCAAAGCCGTTCTGGCTCAGGCTTTTGGCGGCCTGAGCTTGCATGAGCTTGCTTCTTCAGAGCGGCCGCGTGCTGCTGCGAGCCAGCGCCCTTTTTTGAGGCCTGCGTGGCATCAGTGTGTGACAGCGCTCCTGCAGGAGCACCCATGAATGGGCCCGTGCTTCCAGGCCCGAGGCTGCCCTTGTGGACGGCGCCTGCCTCAGCACCAATTGGGCAAGTTGGATTCAGGGCATGTGCGGCAAGGATGCTCCGACGTCTTTTATTGCCGCCGCCAAGCGGACAGTGAAGAAGTGCAATGGCGAGCGTTCTCCTCGTGCTGGGCGCGGTCTAGGGAAGGTGCGAGACAAGAGCAGTAACAATATTCAGAAGCAACTCGACGCTCTTCAGACGCGATACGATGAGTTGCTCAAGTTTATTTTTACTCAGCGCTCTCCTGGTACTGTGGGCAGTGGGCATCAAGTGCCGAAGGAGAGTGGCAAGGGGAACGTCGTTCGTGAGCAGATCAAGGAACTCGAGAGCGCCATCAGTGCCGTCGACAAGATCGGTGACGGTGGCTCAGAGGCCACTTGAGAGACAACTTCAAGCAGCTCGTGAGGAATTGGCTCTTCTCGAGCCGGCCCTTACGCAACACGCCAACACGGGCCATAAGCCCGCCAGGGCGGGGCCCAAGCGTGCAAAGTTGGTTCAGGATGTGAAAAGGCCAGACAAATATCGCGCGGCAGGCGCAGGAAAAGCTTGACCGTCTCATGGCGCAGCAGCTTGTGGTCGATAAGGAGATCGATGAGCTCAACCGCGAGCTGGTGCGCAACTTGACGTGCAGTGTTGCCACTCCTCAGCCCAACCTGGGCGATCTTGGGCTGCAGCGGCGGCCGCCCGTCCTTCTGCGTCGCCGTTCGTGGTCCTGATGCTCATACGACTGACGCTGAATGT